GACGTGGAAGGGGACGAACCTATCCGACAAAGGGCCAGGGTCGTGTCTGAACATATTAAACTATCAATGTGGAAGGAGATAGATGAGATGCTCCGAGGTGGAATAATCAAGCCATCCAAAAGTGACTGGAATAGTCCCGTAGTGACGGTTAAGAAAGCCAGCGGAACATATCGGTTTTGTATCGATTTCCGCAGGGTAAATGAAGTAACGAAAAAGGATGCTTACCCGGTTGCAAATATGACCGGCATCCTTGATGAGTTACGACAGGCCAATTATATCACGACACTCGACTTGAGTGCCTCGTATTGGCAAATACCGTTAGCAGAGGACTCGAAAGAGATCACTGCATTCACAGTGCCGGGAAGAGGGTTTTTCCAGTTCGAACGCATGCCGTACGGACTGACAAATGCGCCCGCTACCTTCCAAAGAGCCCTGGATAAATTGATCGGTCCAGAGATGTATCAGAGGTGTTTGTGTACTTGGACGATATCATTATCGTCTCAAGGACATTCGAAGAGCACCTCACGTGGTTAGGAAAGATCCTCAATAAATTGAGAGATCACGGTCTCACAATAAATCGAGGGAAGAGTGTTTTCTGTCGTTCCGGGGTGAAATACCTCGGCTTCGTTGTGAACAGCCAAGGGCTGCAGGTCGACCCCGAGAACACATCGGCCGTTGTCGATTTTCCCGTGCCGAAGAATCTGAAACAGATTCGCCATTTTCTGAANAACCATATCTCAACCGCTGACACTTCTGACCAAGAAGAATCAGCCGTGGTTATGGAATGAAGAGCAGCAGGAAGCCTTCGAAGCGCTGAAAAAGCACTTAACGTCGGCTCCAACTCTTGCTTGTCCCGATTTTTCACTGCCGTTTGCCCTGCAAACGGATGCGAGCAGTGTAGGACTCGGTGCGGTACTCACGCAAGTGTAGGATGGACAAGAGCGAGTTATAGCATATGCTAGCCGCTCATTAACGGGCCCTGAAACAAAATACACGGTGACTGAGCAGGAATGTTTGGCCGTCGTATGGGCAATTATAAAATTCCGTTGTTACTTGGAGGTTATCCCTTCACAGTAATAACGGACCATAGCGTCTTAAGGTGGCTTCATAATATAAAAGATCCAACTGGAAGGCTAGTGAGATGGAACCTCCGGTTGTTAGAATATGATTACAAAATCATACACCGGAAGGAGCAACGGAGCTACTCTCGATGGCGGTAGATACCGAAGACAAATGTATCTCCGACTCTGCCGAGAAGTCGAGAGAATCCCGGAGAAACATCCTACATGGAAAATTTTCGAGGGACTGTTGTACCACCTGAGGCCGAAAACAATTGCCTCGGTGGACAATAAAGACTTGGACGAGTGGAAATTAGTTCTCCCTCGTGAAATGAGATGTGCCGCTATACGCGAATGCCACGATTTGCCGCAGGCCGGACACCAAAACGTGGATAAGACCTGCCAACGCTTGGCCAATCAATATTATTGGCCAGCGATGTTTGAGGGCGTGATGACGGACGTCAGTTCGTGTCACGAATGTCAGCGCTGCAAAGTGCAACAACAGACCCCGATAGGCCAGGTGGGACCTCGCGCGATCGAGAAACCCTGGTCGAGAATATCGGCGGATATCATGGGTCCCTTTACGCGTAGTAAAGCAGGACACCAACATATCCTAGTTATCCAAGACTTCTTTATGAAGTAGATAGAAGTTCGACCGTTACGAACAGCAACTGGTGCAGCGATACGGAAACCACTGGAGGAAACCATCATTTACCGATGGGGAGCTCCACGAGAATTGCTGACCGATAATGGAACCGAGTTCGTAAATAAGGACTTCAGAGAGTTGGCTGCTTCAACCAATATGAAGCACCGAACAATGCCGCCGTATCACCCGCAAGCGAACCCCACCGAAAGAGTGAATCGTTCGCTAAAAGCCATGATACGAGCATATGTGGAACAGGATCACTGTGATTGGGACTCTCATCTGGATGCATTTCGATTTGCATACAATATAGCGCAACACAGTTCCCTGAAAGCAACACCGGCTTTCGTAAATCTCGGGCGAGAGCCAGAGCCAGCGAATTCATTGCGACGAAAGCTGGAGGGAGATGTTGAAGTTGAATAAACTCCAACAGAGGCCGGGGTCGAGTGCATGAAGCGCCATGACACCCTCAGATTGGCCTTTAGGCATGCATTAGCTGAAGCTAACGATCGACAGGTACAAAGTTATAACTTGCGCCGAAGGAAGGGTGAATTCGAGGTCGGCGAACTGGTCCTAGTTCGCGGCCACGAGCTGTCGACTGCCGCAAAGCATCGTTCAGCGTCCTTCAACAAACCGTTCAATGGACCTTTCGTGGTGACTAAGAAACACTCCAGAAACTTTTACCAAGTTTCTGATATGGCGGGTCGTCATACCAAAGACTGCGCTATAGTGGACATGAATAGGGAGGCTTTGGAGGACCCCCCGACTGAAGAGTCGGAAGGAGAAGAATAATTGCTCCTGGAGGGTCTTTGACTTGAAACGTCTAGGTTTCGGGTCGAAATCTCTCTTAAAGACGGAGGTATGTAACGAGATTTTCTCGTTACGGGTTAAAATCCCCTTAAAAAGAGATGTGAACTCTGAAATTGTTAAAGAGAGACATTAAACGACATCTAGAGGCGGCTGAAAGAGCCGCGACTGGATGAGAAAAGTCACAGACCGATGACAGGCTGAAGGCATAGCGGTTTTGGGTGGAACCGCGACCAGTCGAAGTCTAGAGGACATTACTAGACTATCGCTATTTTAGAATTCGCCCAGCATGTGCTAGGGGAAAACGGGCCGACGTACAGGCTCTCCAACGGGGCGATTCTATAGGCTATGTCGGAGTTGACTAGGGATTAACGGCCAGGTGAAAGGGCTGGTACCTCCGTGATCCCGTCGGGTTGATTGGTGGGGATAGGGTAACGGAATAACCTATCGTCGCCGAGATATCCAGACTAGAAGGCAAGGCCCTAGTAAGATCCGCTCACGTTCCGAGTTAGTCGAACGCGAGCGCTTTAACCGAGCGGTTGAAAGAATCTCTCGGTGTGTTGGATTGAAGAATGTCTGAAGAAGCCATGATAAGGAGTTTCGGACTCCACGTAGCCTCGGTGAATAACCATTGGCGGCGAGCGTAGGGGGATGCTCCTGCATTCCCCGCTAGTAAAAAGGAGTTATTTCGGCCCGCAAAGTGAAGACTTTGTTGTTTCCGGCCTTATCCGGCTCGGCGAAACAAATGACGAGCACATGGGCCCGTGGGTCTGGAGTAGAGATCGTCCTCCTGTCGATCCGACCATGTGCCGACATTTGATTACCCGGGGACGGTGACGTGCGATGACCGAAGCCGTAACTGTTGGCCGAGAGTGTGGGTGGTCGTGAAGTGGGTAACAGTGTTCCACTTTGGTCGGATCAGCCTCTCGGCGTCCCAGGCTCTGAGGAGTCCCGGCTGATTCGCACTTAACTCTGAAAACTCCCCCGAGTCGAAATACTCGGGAGAAGAATGAATGCAGGCAGAGTCGAAAGACTCTCCAGAAGGTCATGAATTTAATTCATTATGGGAGGTTATGCCGTAAGGTATAATACACGGCTTGCAAAGGCTCGTGATAATGTGATGGTAATACTCCTGGTGGACCTCACCCACTCTACCGTATCACGCTGATATTAGCTAGGCAATCCATTGTCCAGCCAAAAAGTCCTCTGGGTAAACGAGAGCGCCCCGGTTTTCGTCAAACCTCCCGTGAAGGTTTGGCTGGCGCCCGACAAATGAGTGATAGAGAAGGCTTAAAAGTTCGTTTGGATTTTTTCCTGGATGAACAACCCGGGAAAATATGCTTACAATTTTTATCCATTTCCAGCATAAATTTCTCATGTAAATGCCTGAAAGAACACCTTTTCTGTTGGATATAACATAATCAGATATTCTTGGGCGTATCCCATTTTTGTTTCAATTTTTCACTCATTTACAGCAGTTTAATTGAAAAAAATAGTAATCTATTTTTTTTATTAGTATTCAGATTCACTGGGTTGGAGATTTCTTGTTTTTTTCTTCTGTTCTTTTTTAATTGGTATACCTATTGGACATTCCAGGAAGAATTATCATGATAGAATATTTTTTCCGGGTGTCGAATAAGGACAAGTAGTTGGAAAACCGTTTCTCAATGTTAATTAAATGAGAGAAACTTTTTGTCAATGGGCCATGCTAAAAAAACGCATTGTGCGCCTACAGAGAGCAGTGATTTTGGACCCTAATAAATCGGGTAATTCCCTTAAGGTTCCCAGCACACAAACGAAGTCGTCAAGTTTTTCCTGCAAAACTTGACTCCTTCGTTTGTTTGCAATGAACCTATCGGGAATTCCCCGATAATTTTGAAGCTCTCGTGGTATTACTTGCGGAAATCAATCCTCTGAAGAGAAAATCCTACCCAAACCCTGTCAGTGTAAGCGGAGTGAGGGAACGGGCAACCATACGTACGCGTTGTGTACGGTAGTGACCAGTCGTTTCAACAGTTGAAAAAAAATGTGTTGGTGAATTTTCTGAACTATTAACCCTCGATCACTCGTTCACTGTGCGCGGCGCTGTCCGCTTTCTAAAAATTCTAAAAAAAATGAGAGTAATTAGTTCAATTCTTTTATTAAGCATTGACGTTGTCGGTTTTTTTCTCGGGAAATTTATTTAGCTAAAAAAAGAAAAGCGTCGAACCGACAGAAAAGCGGCGCCGCGCCGCCCAGTGTGAGTGAGACCCTGTTGACTCCTCAAGTGACCGTGTTGCTACATTCACTGCCACTCTTGATATGCGCGCATAGCGGTAAGCGCCAAGATGGCAACACCGCGCTCGGTTCAACCCAGCAGCACTGCGCTAATCGTGCGACGGATGAAGGCTGACGGCCGAGCGCGAGTGTACGAAGCATAAAAATAACTCTTGATACTCCTCCATTTATCTTAATAAACCCATCCAATCAATCTTCTCATTTTCTTTTTACAGACTCATCTACCCAACATAAAAGTCCATGCCTACTTTGCACCAATGACACCGCCACCAAGCGCCGGTGCATCACGACAACGGTACTGTCGTTGCTGCGTCATCCTATGATTCCGAATCCAGAGGGCAATTGTTACTTGTCCATTATTCCAAGTGAAATTCGGAGCATTTCATCGTTTTACTCATTTGTAATGAGAGAAACATCATCCCTGTGAATCGGTAAACACGGGAGATATTTATGCTTGACTCAAGAGACTTTGGTGAATTAGGTGATTTATTACTCAATGACTAATAATATCCAAAGGCGATGGACCCATTAGTTTTATTTCAATTTTTTAAATCAAAGGAACATCATAATTTTTTCATCACTCGACTACACATTTAAGGATCAGTCTTCATTGTCCTTATTTTAAAATAATCAGAATTTTCGTTTAAATCTTAAAAAGAATTCACAATGGTTCTTTCGGCGACAGATATGAACCAGGAGAGTACAGACTGAAAAAAATTTAACGAAACAAAAAAAATAAAAGTATTCTAATGCCTAAAGAAAATTGCTGAGTATGTGGGAATGAAATTTCCATAGTAAAGTGGTGAAAGTGGTTCATTGTGCATTCGTCTCGATGAGTAGTGATTTGAACATTGTCTCTAGGCAATTCCCTCCAAAAATCACTCATTATTGGAATAATTTTCCTAGCAACCAAATACATAACACAGTCCTACAAAATTTCGGTTTTTTGGCACAGGAATGAGACTGATCTACTAGAAAGATTTTTGCATGCCGATTTCAAATCCGCCGGCCAAATCCCATTGAATGACCTAGTTTCTGAGAAAAATTGTTAAGTCCTCAAAATGGCCCAAAATCGCCTTTTTCAAAATTTTGTTAAAAAATAAAGCCTGTGCCTATTGAACTGAAAAAAAAACAACGAAAAGACCAGAAAAGTTCTAGATGAGGTAGGGTAGTTTAATCAAAAGCAGGAAACTATTCATAATAAATTTTGCATTTTTTCAGTAAAATTGCATTTATTTTTCAAAAGAATGTCATGGCACGTAGGATTCCAACCGCCAGATTTAAGGTCTATGATTTGTCCATTTCATTTGTTGATTAATTTCTGGTTTTTTCGTTGCTTTTTTTTCAGCTCAATAGACACAGGCGTGGCTTCCGAATGGAAGCCTTAGAATCGTTAAAATTTAAGTTTCGGTTTTTTTTGTGTTATATCGACCCATTATGATCCAAAAAGTCCGAAAATGCAATTTTTGGACCGTGTCCGTATGTGTGTATGTATGTGTGTATGTTGGCGTCTAAGGTTGTTCTTGAATTATTCACCAATGAATTGATGTAATTGAATCTTTTTTTATCAAATGTAGATATCGTTGAACCCTATCCATCGACATAAATGAAAATTGTATTCATCCATTATTTTTTTTTAATTTTGATTTTTTCATGTTTTTTAAAAATTAGTTGTCCTACGATAGTTTTACAAAAATGTTTGAAAATCATTGAATGATTGGTTAAAACTATTGTTTGGGTATCCTTTCGACCGAGTTCGAAGAAGCAGGTAATAGTATTAATCGTTGTTTCCATTTATATAAAAATTTGGAAATACTTTTCATTCATTGAAAATCAGAATTCCGGCATATTTTTGGATATCATGCTTCAAATTGATTCAATCATAGCTTCAAATTCAATTTCAACACCACTTTGTCGAAGTTGAAAGATTATTACAATAGCTATATCCGTAGGTTTGATTTTTATAATGATTTTTACATTGCGGTGCATTTTTCATGAATTTCCCAGGAGGCTTCCCAATGGTTTCTTCACATATGATGCTTCAAAATCATTCAATTGTGTATAAAAAAAACTGCTTCCAATGCTATTTCATCGAAGTTTGAAGATAATAAAGACAACAGTTTATTTGTTTGATTTACATAAGATCATTGTAAAAAAATTTTTTTCCATCACTTTGGAACATTTACTTTCACGATTTATTTGAATGAAAGAAAGTTGAAAGTGATTCAATTATCATAGAAGACTCACTTTACAGGGTAGAACACATGCAAACCTGCTATGGACAAGTATGAGTTTATTATGATGATTGTTGAAAATTCCGAATTTTTCGTGAAAATAAAAGTCAATTTTTCTCTGAAAGTGAGCTTTCTGGTGGTTTCTTCAAATGTCACGTTTCAAATTCATTCAAATATGTATAAGTAAAGTTTTTCTATTAACGTTCTATCAAAGGGCTGAGGGGAGAGATAAAAACGTAAACAAGACAATCGATTTTGCAGAAGAAAATGATAAGAATAAGGATGATGATAACATTCAACTAAGTGGAAAATCTGACAACATTCGTTCAAAAGAAATCTCATTTAATTTAATAAAATGAAATAAGCAATGAATTATACGTGATAGAGGGAAATTATTTGCAAAATGACGATTCGGAAGCGTATTGCTAATTTATTAGCAAAAATAACTGAACGTTATGCAATTCAAGAGCAATTTCCCACTTATTAAATTAAATTGTTAAAAAAAGGCGATTTTGGGCCATTTTAAGTACTTTTTTTTCCTCAGAAACTACGTCAGCGTCCAAAAATCTGTCTAGTTGCGGCAGTCTCATCTCTATAGCAAAAAAAAAACAGAATTTTGTAGGACTGCGTAATTGACCTTCCTATTATATTTTACCACTTCGCTGCTGATTCATTTTTTTCAGCCAAAAAATAAACATGAGAAATTCAGTGTGAAAAAAAAACATAATGAATGAATTTGAAATAAAGTTGGATGCTCGAAAACCTTAAATTTCCATGTGCCATACGATAAAGTTGAGCAATTTACCGAAAGAACTTTTGGCGAATGCCTCATTCTGAAAATTTGGGAATGAATTTAATTATAAATTTCTGCAATCGCATGCGCGAACGATTCCTAATATTTGGTAGCGTAAGAAACGTATCTCGTTCTATCTGACTAATAGATTAAATAATGAGAGAGGAGGGCAGATATATATATGGGGCATTCCATGTCAATTCGACCGGTTTAAACTCTGACCATCTCCGATTCGTTTCATTTTTTTTTCATGATTCTACTCGATGAAAAATCCACTCTGAATTTTTTTCAGATTTTTTAAATCAATTCTTTAATTTTTTATCAATTTTTGAAGTAGATTAACGAAAGCCCCATGTTAAAAATCTGCAAAAATTCACTAGTATATTTCTAACCTAGGGAGGGAAAATAAAGGACCCACAGCCGCGTGCTTACCAACCTCGCCTTCGGCTCGGCTGGTAATTGCACTGGCGGCTGAGGATCCTTTATTTTCCCTCCCTAGGTTAGAAATATACTATTATGCTACCAAAAAATTGTTTCAAGCTATTTTTTAGAGTGGAAATAGAAATAGTACGCCCTACGCTAACCCTATGTCTGTATGCGCTAGGAAAAAAATTACATTTTATCTATGTAATTTACATTAACGGAAGTGCTGAATCCGAATCCGACGTCAATTTTTACAAGTTGTGGTCAGGTCTATTTATTTATAACATTGTTATTGTTTAACCCATCGTATCATAGAAACGGTTACAGATAGAGAAAAAAATTCCAGACAAAAGATGTTTGTTATGTAAAAATACACATTTTTTATTTACTAACTTTTTCTCTTAACTGCGATAGATAAAGAGTTATCATGGATGGGAGGGAAGTGGGCAGCACGTTAACACTTGCGCGGATGTTGGGACGCTCTGATGCATTTATGGGCAAACTGTGTTGCAAATAAATGTAATTGCAAATGTGTATTTTTACATAACAAACATCTTTTGTTTGAAATTTTTCTCTCTATCTGCAACCGTTTCCATGATATGATCGATTAAACAATTAAAATGGTATAAATAAATAGACCTGACCACAACTTGTAAAAATCTACGTAGGATTCGGATTCAGCACTTACGTTAACGTAAATTCCATAGATAAAATAATAATTAGTAATTTTTTTCCTAGCGCATACAGAAATAGGGTTAGCGTAGGGCGTACTAGTGTTTCCCGATACCCAAAAAATATCGATACTCAGTATGGTATCGAAGCAGATTGCTTGGTATCGATACCGCAAAGTATCGCTTTGGGAAATATCGATACTCGTAATATCGATCTTTTTAAAAATTCTGGATGACAATGGCAAATAAAAAAAAATAAAGTTGAAGAATGTCGCGTTAAGATCTTAAACATTCGGATTCATTCACGTGAGGATACCCCAGTATTGTTTACAATTTGGTACAGACCATTCTATAGATTCCGCCACTTCCAATCATCAAATTTGTCAATTAAATTGCGCGAAGAAAAATTGAGATAAGTTATGAATATTCAGTGTCATTTACATGACATTTTGCACAGAATTATTATTTTGTTCATTCGAGGATGGAACATCACGAGAGTCACTAGGGAATGATCAAATTTACGCCTGGCGTACTATTTTTATTTCCACTCTAAAAAATAGCTTGAAACAACGTGCTGGTAGCATAAAATTTTTGAGAATTTTTTCAGATTTTCAAAATGGGGCTTTCGTTAATCTACTTCTAAAATTGATAAAAAATTAAGGAATTGATCAAAAAAATCTGAAACAAAATCAGGGTGGATTTTTCATCGAGTAGAATCATGAAAAAAAAATAAAACGAATCTGAGATGGTCAGGGTTTAAACCGGACGAATTGACATGGAATGCCCCATATATATGTTTTATACGCAAAATATCGTCACTAGAAACAAAACGTATGTTAATCGCCGTCTATTATTACTTGAAACCTCTAATGCGTACGTCGAGATTGAATCCCGTTGATCTAGAAGCTCGCTATTATTGTTATTAATAAATTCAGTGATGATTCAAATGTTTTAATCGTTCTGGCGAAAGGTGCATCAAACCTGAGAGAAAAATATTGACGCAAATGTTGTATGATTGCTGAGAACGAAAGAACGCATTTTTTATTCTTTTCGAAACCTTTTTAATTACCGGAATCAATTTTCTGATGTCAATCAGAATAGCAAAAACCATTGAATTCGTTGTGACAACTAAAAAATACAATATAATTTGTCTAAAATTTCTAATTTTGATCTCATACGCTGATCCCTGTAGTGATTTATATATTAGAATTTACTCATAACAATACGTTGTCATATTTTTACGTAAGAAATAATAAGGGTATCTGCTGAAAATCATAGCTAGCCCCTGGACTACATGTCAAGAAAATTTGATTCCCTGAAATTAAATGATTTTGGGAATTTTCATTAAACTATTAATGGCTCGTGACATTTTATTGAATAAAAACATTTGATTTGTCCAATAATGTCATGACTAATTTGTTACTTATCTTTTCATTATTTTAATCCACGTATTAAGAATTAATTTGAACGATAAAGGTATGTGTGACGAGACTGTGAGTCGTGAGGGAAAAGTTTCAAAAAATTATTTTCAAAAAGTGTGAATGTGATCGAGAAAATATTCGGCTGTGCTGAAGACTAGGGTTGATTATTATTCGTTGCAGAGAATCTGAGATTAATTTGTTAAGTTAATAGTTAAGAGGATCAATTAAATTCCACATTAGGTTTGTCTACGGTATTGAGTTGTTAAGATGTTCGTTTGGCTTTTATATCGTAATTAGAGGATATATGTAAACTTGGACGGTATATTTTACTGCTTCGACAAAGTGGAGTCTGCGATGTATATATTTATTGCCTAATGTATTATTTGAAGACTCCTGGCTGTTTTGAGAACTGTTCTCAAAATATACCCAATCAGACTATCTTTGAATTTGAAGACACAGGACCGTAGGAAAACATATATATATACAAATCGCCGAATTGAATTGATTTTGAATCAATTCAAAATCAATTCAATTTTGATTGTATTGTGAATTGATTTGTCTATATATATATATATATATATATATATATATAT